TCGAGGAGGACTTGAGGTGTTTTTCTCCGAGGAGGACTTGTTTTTCTCTCGAGGAGGACTTTCTCGAGGAGGACTTGTTTTCTCTCGAGGGAGGAGGTTTCTCGTTTCTCTCGAGGAGGACTTGTTTCTCTCGAGGAGGACTTGTTTCTCTCGAGGAGGACTTGTTTCTCGAGGAGGAGTTTCTCGATCCTTGTTTCTCGAGTAGGACTGTTTCTCTCGAGGAAGGACTTGTTTCTCTCGTTTCTTGTTTTCTCGAGGAGGACTTGTTTCTCTCGAGGAGGACTTGTTTCTCGAGGAGGACTTGTTTCTCGAGGAGGACTTGTTTCTCGAGCAGGACTTGTTTCTCTCGAGGAGGGGACTTGTTTCTCTCGAAGGAGGACTTGTTTCTCGAGAGAACTGTTTCTCTCGAGAGAGGACTTGTTTCTCTGAGGAGGACTGTTTTCTCGAGGAGGACTTGTTCTCGAGAGGAACTTGTTTCTCTCGAGGAGGACTTGTTTCTCTCGAGGAGGACTTGTTTCTCTCGAGGAGACTGTTTCTCCGAGGTAGGACTTGTTTCTCGAGGAGGACTTGTTTCTCGAGGAGGACTTGTTTCTCTCGAGGAGGACTTGTTGCTCGAGGAGGACTTGTTTCTCGAGAGAGGACTTGTTTTTTTTTGTTTCGTTTTGACGCGGTTCCTGATTCGTTTGCGCTGGTTTGGGAAATACGCAAATACGCGAATATGTTTCAATATGGGTGTGCCTCCGCGTTCGTTTAGGTTGGTGAGGCGTTCGTCTTGGGTGATTTTGGAAGGCTGGGGAAAATCGCATTTGTTCGGCAGATATTTTCACAGATATTTCTTTTCTCTCTCTCTCTCTCTCTCTCTCTCTCTCTCTCTCTCTCTCTCTCTCTCTCTCTCTCTCTCTCTCTCTCTCTCTCTCTCTTCTCTCTCTCCTCTCTCTCTCTCTCTCTCTCTCTCTCTCTCTCTCTCTCTCTCTCTCTCCTCTCTCTCTCTCTCTCTCTCTCTCTCCCTCTCCTCTCCTCCCTCCCTCTCCCTCCCTCCCTCGTCCCAATCACCTATCCCCCTCCCCCTCTGCGCTTCCCTTCCTTTCTGCCCCCCTCCCTCTCCTCCCTCCTCCCTATCCTCCCTTTTCTCCTTTCTCTCTGCCTCACCTTTCTCTTTTCTTCCTCTATTCGCCCTCCTCTCTCCTCTCCCTCTCCCTACCCCTCCCTAACTACTTCTCTACTACCCCCTTTCTCCTTTTTTTTCCCCATCTCTTTTTCCCCTTTTTGCCCCCCCACTCCCCCCCTTCTTCCCCTCCTCCTTCTCCTCTTCCCTTACTCCTTCCTCTCCTCCTCCCTCCCCCCTTCCCTTCTTCTCCCACCCTCCCCTCTCTCACCTCCCTCCTCTTCCACTTTTTCTCCTCCCTCTCCCCCTTCCCTTCCCACTTTCCCCTCTCCTCCCGACATCTTTCTGTTCGCCCATCCCTGCCAATGCCTCGCCCTCGCCCTCGCCCTCCCCCCCCCCTCCCGCGAGCCCCGTCCCTGTCCTCCCCCGCCTAGCCTTACCTCTCCCTTTCCCCGTGGATTCCTAGCTCTATGTTGACGATTTTTCTGAGGGGTGGCCGTTGTCGAAAGGCTTCGCATCTTTTCCCTCCTTTCTCTCTCGCTCTCTCTCTCTCCTCTCTCTCTCTCTCTCTCTCTCTCTCTCTTCTCTCTCTCTCTCTCTCTCTCTCTCTCATCTCCTCTCTTCTCTCTCTCTCTCTCTCTTTTCTTCTAGTTCTCTCTTGTCGCTCTCTTTGGAGTGGGTCTTCTTTCTCGCTCTCTTTCTCTCTCCTCTCGTTCTCTCTCTCCTCTCTCTCTCTCTTCTCTCTCTCTCTCTCTCTCTCTCTCTTCTCTTCTCTCTCCCTCTCTCTCTCCTCACCTCCCTCCCTCCCTCCCCCTCCTCCCTGCCTCTCCCTACTCTCTCCTCATTCCCTCTCTCCCTCCCCTCTCTCTCCCCTCCCTCTCTCCTCCCTCCTCTCCTCTCTCTCCCTCTCTCCCTCTCCTCTCTTTCCCCCCTCTCTCTCCCCCTCTCCCTCCCCTCCCCCCTTCCCCCTCTCTTTACCAATTTTAACGTCTGCCTTTAATAAGATTTAAAAGCAATCCCGTAGAAGAAAAAAAAACATTACTTGAATTTCTTGCCCCTCGATTTGACGACATTTGGCGTTCCACCTTTTTCAATATTAAAACAGGGTTTTTTTTTATGTGTGGGCGGGCTTTTGTTGGTTGTATTTGTTTGTGTGTTGGTGTTGTTTCTTTTCATTCTTGAATGGTCTTATTTTATATTTATTTGGTGTACTGATTAATCAGTGTATTATTCATCACGCATTAAGACATAATGAATACACATTATTGTGGTCTATAGTGGCAACGCGCACACACACACACATACACACACACACACACACACACACACACACACACACACACACACACACACACACACACACACACACACACACACACACACACATCACACACA